CTTCGTTCGACTCCGGGCTCCTAACATGGTGCACACCTGGGGCCAGCATTCACATGGTCTCCCACTGGAGCTGTGCTCTGGGGTCATGGTGGACGTGTGCAGCAGTGTCCCCGAGAATCCCCAAGTCCTGTGAAGTCGCTGCTGCTGCTAAAACTTGTTGCTCCTCGTGAACTTTCCCTCCTTGCTGGTCCTGAAGGCCTTCAGGCCACCTCCTGCCCCAGAATCGGGAAGAATAAACAGTCAAGCGAAGGCAGGGGTGACCCACTTATTAGCAGATGCCACAGCCCCAGGGCACAGTGGCTGACACTGGAAGAACAGAGAGAGACGGGGCAGGGGAAGGGAAACAGACGTCCTTGGGAAGACGCCTTCAATTCCGATGCCACTTGAATGAACGAGAAGTCCGATGCCCATCTAAGAGCGAGGGGCGGCCAGAAAGACAGCAAATCAATCAGGCAGACGAGCAGGATGTGCAGGCACGGATCACTGCACAGCACGGTCCTTGGGCCGCAGCCCTCTGCAAACGTCAGGCTCCAGGGGCTGACGAACGGGCACGACCTGCCCCCTCCTGCCCGGGCCTGGCAGCGGGGCTGCCCTGCCAGCCCAGAAGGTCTGTGTCACCAGGGGATGGGGCTGCGAGGCTGCAGAGCCGGGCTCCTGTCTCTGCCTCAGCTCTGTGGCCCTGGGGAAGCCACCGCCTCCGAGTCTCAGTTTTCTCTGCCGTAAAATGGGATGATGTCACAGACCTCACTGCGTGGCCGGGAGGACACAACCAGAAACGAGAAAGTAGCTAGAACACGGGATACCAACGCAAGACGAACCACCGCGGGAAGGCCCGGCCTGGGCTTGGCACGGCACTGCCCCGGGGCGGGGGGCACTACTCCATTCTCCACCCCTCACAAAAAGGATGTTTTCCCCTCAAATGGTACTGTTTTAGGAAGAAACCCCTCGGGTTCACAAAGCGGGCTGCACACTGCTTTAGGTACTTCAGATGCATCGAAGCCAGTGTTGCCGCGTAAGACGGAGCCAAGACGGAATCGGAAAGCACGGCCTCCCGGCACAGAGAAAGCAGGACTGGCGGCGAAGGCTGGGAAGGGACCCTCCGGGGCGAGCCTGGGCCCGGATCCCCCACGCCCTGCTCCTGTAGGAAGAGAGTCCCGCAGACAGAACGGCCCCTGCAGCCCCCCACATGCACCTTGCTTCTTCGAGGGGGTGTCTGGAGGGAGTCTGGGGAGAGGCCCCTCTGTCCGGCAGAGCGTGGCAGGCCATCTGCCGGGCCCTTGCAGGCTGCGTCTCTGTCCCCGTCACCCATGCCCTGTAGGTGGATCTCATGGTTCCTGTGTTCGAGGCAGGATGGCAGGCCAGGGTGACCTTGTCCTGCTCCAAGGCCGCCCATGAGGGGCCCCCGGCTTCATACCGCCAGGCTGCGGCCAGGTCTCCAGCCAGGAGTCCGCTCTGCCATCTGCACTCCCAGCTCTGCTCGGCCGGTGCCTGCTGCGTGCCAGTGACCCAGCAGCATCTGTCCACCCGTAAGTGGCGGATGCCGCTCCTATGAACGGCCAGGAGCTTTCGGCACTTGGGGAGCCCCACTGCACCCCCCGGGCTTCCCTCTGACACTCCCGAGGAGGAGGAGGCAATAACAGGGCCCAGGCCCCGGGCAAGGGATGTGACTGACAGGCTGGGAAGCGCTGCGGGCACGAGGCAGTGAAACTTGAGTCCAGGGGAGGCGACGCGTTCCTGTTTCCCAGACACCTGGGCCAGTCCGACTCCTGGATGGGACTGATTTACACACAATCCTATCATTTCACCAGGGGTCCCTGGCTCTTGCTCACCGTGCAGGAAAGAATGAAATGCTAACTCTTGGCTTTGTTTCCTACCCAAGCCGGAGAAGCTCCAGAAAGCATCCCAGGACACCTGGTCTGGAGGCGAGGTTACTGGTTTGAAAGAGATGGGGCATCTCATACTTTCCCATTTGGTCCTTCAAAGGAGCAGGATAGGTGGCTGCTGGGGCCCTGAGGATCCAGGGCCTGCAGAAGGCAGATCCTGATGTCAGTTCCCACGGGTCCTTGTAACAGGGCCCATGTCGCCACTGGCTCCAGCTGCGGCGGCTTGCTGGGACGCCCTGGAGGGCACATGTGACTCACGAGCCCCCCCACTCACAGAGCCCTGTAATGTGGCCACTCTAAGGAAGGAGGGAGAAACTGACTCACAGCAGCTACACTGGCAACTGCAGGACGTGGGGGGAGGTTGCGGGGTGCAGGAGGGGAGGAGGAATTTTCCATCTGTTAAGGTCAAGGGCTTTGGGAGGCAACTGGGAGCTGCTGGTAGAGGCGGCCCCCTTCTTCTAAGGAAGCATGCTGCTGCACACAGGCCGGCCTCTGCACAGAGTTAGTATCCTGAATGTTCTCATTCCGGGTGTGCATCTCAGCATTCCAAGGAAGACACGGAGGAGATAATTTCCAGAGGCCTTTCTGAACGTTAGACCACAAAATAAAAGCCTGTCTCTTTATCCCCTAGGACACACTGTCCCGGAATTGCAATGAAGTGGTCGGCGGGAGGCCCTCTCACACGTGCAGGCCGGACAGGTGCACCGTCTACCTGAGACAGAAAGATGACTGTCCCTGGGGTGCGAGGGGGTGTTAAGTCCGCTCGCTGCCTTGCCCCACATCTTGGTGAGGTCTGGCTGGCAGCAAAATCGGAAACAGCTGGTAGGAAGAGGCGCAGTGGGGGGTCTCTAGAAGGGAAGGACAATCTTCTGAATGTGAGTGGGAGAGGGGGTGAGGGAACAGGGCCACTTGATGGAACGAAGACAGAGGGATAAGCCCTGCAGGCCAGACTAGGGAAGGGAAGATGCCCTCATCCTGTAATGGAGCTCAGGACGAGGAGACCGCCACCCACCAGCCCGTCCTGTGGTCGCTTTGCCCCTCCTGCCTCACTGGCCGGGGGGCCTGCAGAGCGATGGAGAGCACGTGGTACTCGGGGCCAGGAAACACCGCTCTGCAGAAGCCGGGGACCCTGCGAGCCACGTGAAAAGTTGTAAATAGCTTTAGAGATGATGGGGAGGCCCGTCTGCCTTGACTTTCTCTGAACCAGGAAGAGCACATCCGAACCGAACACCTTCCGAGCGAACCGCAGCCCCCGGCAGTGGACAGCGGGTGGGGAGAGAGGGTGTCAACAACTCAGAGAGAACAAACTCTGCTCCTGCTCACCCTTCCCTTCCTACTTCTGTAGCTTTTGCCAGCCTGCTGGCAATTAGCTTTATGAGTTATAAGCACAGTATCTGGAAGCTGAAGACAATAATTAATGCCTGTCGGCTTTCCCGAAGGGTTCATTCTGTTCGGTCAGAGTTATTGAGATTTAGGAAGCAAGGCTTCCATCACGTGGAAGGTTTATAGGAATAAGTGAAGGAACAATTTAATAAGGCAATAATAATGCTTCTAAATAATTTACCAGGCAAAGGGCAGCAGCCAATATCCCCCGTGCCCCATATATCCATTTTGCCGGTGGGCGGGAGACCGTGCCAGACAGATTCTGCACGAGACCGCGGTGGCCTTGCCGGGAAAGACCCACCCGAAGGGCTCTGCTGTGGTCCCTCTGCCCGGGACATGCTCCCGTGTCTGTGCCGAGCCTCCGGGACCTGGTCCTCCGACACCGGTTAGAGACCCAGACGGGGTATTACACTTACAGACACCTTTGCTAATTTCACCAATCACGGTTTGTTGAAATGCTAAGAGGCTGAAGGGCCTGGGCCCTCCTGGCTGCCCTGTCGAGTGACTGTGCACATCCCCAAGGCCAGGGAAGTGGGAACGGGAACGGTGCCAGGAAATCAACTCTGTACAAGACTGCCGCCGGATGTGGGGGGTGAGGGGCCCTCCCCTCGGGTACCATGCCACCAAAACAAGCGTTATGTGAGCTCCCCCAGCCAGAGCTGAATGTGCGAGGGAAGAAACACAGGCCACGTGACTGCTCCAGAAAAACAGAGAGGAAAACAAAGGTGTCCCACGGCTTGGACCACAGGCCCCCTTGGGCAGGCCTTGGGGGTGGGACCGGGAAGGCAAGACGACCTCTCAAGGACCCTGGGGGTTAACGAACGTCCACCCAAAGAGCACGGCTGGCGGGGCCTGCGGAAACCTTTGCCAGGATGGGGGTAATTAAGTTAAGAGGCCAACTCCCTGAGTCGCTCGGCTCTCTCCTGACCCCGCCTCCCAATCAGCTAAGTGGCCACGTGTCGAACTGTGTGTCATCTAGCACACCTAAATTTGTGTCAGGGCAGAGCAGGACCAAGAGGAAGCAGAGAATATTAATAGACGCTGCGAAAGGTAAAGAGAAACATTTGAGTCCAGCCCGCCCGCAAAACAGGCAGAGATAAATAACCGCTTCTGGGTTTGCAACTTATTTTTTTTCCTCCCCTCCGCCCCCGCCCAGGGCACAAAGCAATCAAGCAACAGCCTGGAGATTCATCACCTTCCCTTGTCTGTGGGGAACAAGGAAGACAGGGAGAGAGCTGGGCTGACCCGTCCCCTAGGGAGGGAGCCTATTTCTCTTTAGGGACAGTCCTGAGATGGCTCAGTCCTGCCTGTCCAGTCAGGGAGCTTGGCATCCACCTGCATGCTCCTGGGCCGGCCAGGAGTGAGGTTAAAACACGAAACGTCCCTGGAAAAGTAGCTCTGGCTCTCACAGAGCTTCGCTCCCAGTACCCCACCCCCAAACCCTGAGCTCAGCGTGCAGGAGTTCACCGCCCGGGAGCTGGCGCTGACCCGCAGGCCAGCTCCAAACCAGCCGAGACTGAGGCCTGGTCGCCAGGACACTCTGGGGCTATTGTCCTAGCGCCACGATCCGCTTGCTGCCCGGGACCAAGGCCCCGGTAATTATTCAGAGTGTGGAGACGCACAGATCCTTCTCTCTGGGGAAACAGTTCCACCAGAGAGCGAAGGTGGTTCGAAGGGCCCAGGCCACCCCGGCCGGCCGGGTGCGGGCTGAGGGGCAGAGGCGAGGCCACTCACCAGGTAGATGTGGTAGACGTCCGCTCGGCGCAGTGGCCCCCAGCACAGGTCCGTGTCGTTGTGCTTGGTGTGGGCCTCCACACCACAGGAGTCGTTGTCGATGGCACTGCTGGTAAAGAGAGCATTGGCTCAGTGTGGCCCTCCCTGCTCGGCCTGAAGCACACAGGACCCAACGTTATTGATTATTAGCCATCGCTGAACCTCCCTTGCCCTGACAGCTGCTTTTGGTCCAACAATGATTCTCCACGAGCCACATTTTCTTGTCTTTTCGGGCATGCGGCACGGGAAAGTCCCTGTGGGACTGCCAGGCCCCTTCCCAGTGGGGACGGGGCAGGGAGCAGGGTGGAGCCTGTTTCTGCGGGACAGAAGACACGGCCAGTGGGGGGGTCCCTGTAGAAAAGGGCCTCCGGCACCTGCATTCTTCAGATGCTGACGGGTTTGCTTGGCGTAGTTTGCTTTGCTTCTGCCGGGAACACTGCCCTGACCGCCTGCCCGAGGAAGCCCCTGTGGCTCCACTAGTGTGGAGGGCGAGAGGGACACTCACCAGGACACCTGCATGAGGGAGAAGGGCACGGCGGCGGCATAGATGGCCAGGTCCCCGTACAGGTAGATGATGATGCAGAAATAGAACAAGTTGACCCCAACTGAAAGGGACAAAGTCATCGGTCAAGGCACAGCACCGGACAGTGAGGCCGTCCGAGGCGTTTACACTTTTTTGAGGACTCCATTTCTACCTGTCCCATAGCTTTTGGTTCTCCAGGCTGCTTATTTTCTCCGGAAAGAGTAGGAAAATGAGCCCAAAGTCCTGTTTCTCGTTCTGGCTGGCTACGCTGTGATGCTGGCGGGAGACACATCTACCCGTGACTTTCACCCAAGAGGGGACTGGGTGGGGCTAGGAGGGTTGTGGAGATTCTGGACCCAGACAGGGGCCAGGTGAGTGAGGTGTGGACGGGCCTGGAATTAGGGGGGTCGGGGGGAAGGGGGAGGCCTGGAGTCATAAGCCTGGGCCAGGGTGCCCTTCACAGCCAAACACGGGGCTCTAAGACAGAAGACTCCTACTGAGGAATTGAAAAGCAGAGACGAGAACAGGAAATGGCCCTTCTAAAATGAAAATCAAGAAGGTAAAAGGCCCTTGATTTCCAAAGACTGAGCGCCTCGTTCTCGGACTGACCAATCGCCAAGCACCGGAGGGGCAGGGGCGGCCTGGGCTGGGGAGCTGGAGCCGGGCACTGACTTCCCTCCTTACAAAGCGTGGCTGCGAGGGAGGGTGCTGGCTTTGGAGGTGCAGGCTGTGGACCCTCCCTTTGCAATAGGCAAACCTTGGTCCCCTCTCCCGCCAAGAGGGGCCTGAACTAGGAGTGGGGAGTGCAGGCTCTGGCCCCACTGCTCTCACTCCCTGACCCTGGCAAGTCCCCTAAGGCCCCAATCCCTTACAGTGAGAATTCAAGCTCTGCTTAATTCCCTGTGTGACTCCAGCTGTGGATTCTGAAAAACCAGTCTGCGCCCTAAAACCTCAAGGTCACAGCTCTGAAAACCAGTCTCAAACTCTGGTCCAGACTGACTGCTCGTTTTTGATGTCCCTGGTCTCAAGCTGTTTTCTTCGCTGAAAACAGAAAGAAAAATAAAGTGACAGTTCTCTTCTAAGGCTGGTGACTCGGAAAAGCCTCCGGGGTCCCCAGGGGAAAGCCAAGGACATATTTCACCTGGGCTATTTGAGACGGACTCTACTCCTAGGAGTCTGGGGAAAAAACACCAGGAAAAAGCAGTTCCTGAAAGAACCCAGGAGGGCCTCGGACAGCCTCACTGTCCAAGCTCAGTGGCCCCTGGGGTCTGCCTGCCACTGACACGCAGGCTCCCAGGACAGCCTGTGCCCTCGCTCGTCTTTCTGCTCCGACACCGATGCTCTCTGTAGGGAGGCAGCGTCCCCTCCCCACTCCCAGCCTCTCTCCACCTGCCCACGGACGCCAGTGTCAGCTGTTTATAAACTGCCACTGGCCCTCCCTGATCAATAAATTTCATTACTAGACACAAAAACGGGAGGATCAATGAATTTTCTGAGAGGACAGCGATGACTAGGTCTGGCATTTCTAATTACAAGGAATGAGTCGGACCCCAAGAGAGCCTTCTGTGGAGGGTGGCAGCCCTTCTAAAGGTCAAGGTCGTGATCGGTAAATTAGGGATAGAGTAGAGGAGTGGTTTCCAACTCGGGGCGACTGTGCCCTGCAACCCCTAGTGGGGATGTTTAACCATGTCTGAGGACATTTCTGGGAGGTGCTACTGGCAACTAGTGGGTAGAGGCCACAAATGCTACTCAGCATCCTACAATGCACAGGACAGGCCCCAATGGCAAAGAATGATCCGGCTCAAAGGGCATTAGTGCCGAGCCTGAGAAACCCCAAAGCAGATGAGGAGGGGGCTTCCTCTACATGCGTGGCTGCGATTCTTAAAGAAATCAGGGCAGACTGTAAAACCTGAGCATTAGGGAGGTTTAAAGGGTGTCTGTCTGCCTCCGATGTGCATTTTATTTCAAAAGCTTGCATTTGGAACGGGCCCGTGTATGGCCTCTGGGCAGAAATGTTCATCTTTGTCTAATCTGTGTCTCTTATCTTAGTCTGATGAGCTGCAGAGAGGTAGAAATGGAAAGAAGGAGCCACCCAGAAGTGGGGAGACACAACCAATCTGGTCTTCCTGATTCTGGACGCCCTCAGTGAGGCTGGCAGTGGGGGTGGGATCACTCTGGGGCAGCGTCTGGCTGATGACCACGATCTTCCGAATGGCACAGTCAGATCCCACGACCAGTGATACATGGAAAGCTTCACATCCTAAGAAGCTGCTAAGAAGCTTCCAGTTTCTACAGTCCCCGTTCAGCTCAAGTTAGTACAGCCACATTTGAGAAAGGAAAGAACCGGCAGAGACGCCCCTCTGCAAACAGGGATTCTGATGGCGAGGCAGAATACCTTCCAGTGGAATCCCAGACAGCAGCCCCGCGCATGGGCTTCTGGCGCCCTCTGCTGACCACCAGGAAGACAGACGGAAAGGCGTGGGTGCACAGCACAGCTGACCGCTGTCACAAGGTAGCGGCTGTGTTGCCCTACACAGCACGGCCCAGGAGACAGGGCAGACAAATCAGAGGCGCGAGACGACCGGCCGACCTACAACGGCTCCCTTCCCCGAAGAGCTGCTTAGGGTTCCCAGTCTCTACATGCTGCAGGAGCTAGGCAGCCATCTCCTTATCCCTAACGCCGGTGAATGAGGAGGGGCCCCAGGTGACACCGAGGCAGTCTGGGCCCCTCACAAGGTGGCTCCTCGGGGGCACTGGGGCAGGTCAGCGGTCTGCTCCATCCCATCGCCTGCCCCACCCTGTCTCCAAGGTGGGGCCCTCGTTCCGAGCGCCCAGGTCTGTAGCGAAGGACCAGCTCTCCCCGAGCCCTCTCCCTGCCCCACCCCAAGAAGAGCTTATACCTTTATTGAAGAACATGGAGGCCATCTGTCCCATTTCCACACGGTCTGTGATTTCAAAGAGGTTTGGAGACCCGCGTCTTTCTGTGGAGCCAACGGGCAGGAAGAGGGGGCGGTTCGTTCACGTGGGAACGCTAGAGGGCGCTGCTGAGCTCACTGAACTCCCGGGAATAACGAACTCCCCAAGTGACTCAAACTTGAGAAAACTTTCCTTAATGCTTCCTGCTCGAAACACCTGAAAACGGTCTCTAGAAGGGGACCCCAGGGACACTGGTTATGGGGTAAGAAGGAAAGTGGCTCCCTCAGCCAGACCGGGGGTGGGACCATCAGGCGTGCGTGCGTGTGTGCGCGTGCGTGTGCGTGTGTGCATGCGTGTGGTGGGATGGGAGGAAGGAGAAATCGGAGGCCTGGCATTTACTCGAGCTTCCAGTGTGCCCTGGGCACCGAACCAGGCGTTCACGCATTTCGATACCAGGAGAGGCGGGACACTGGGGTGCCGAGCTTATGCAATTCACCCGAGCTGCAGACCTCATTAACCAGTGGAGACGCGGGGTGCAGCGTGGGCCGCGAGCCCCACAGCCCTGCTCTTCTTACTGTACCCCAGTGCCTTCCCAGGAACCGTCCTGCAGGCGCGAAGTGCTCGGGGTCCCTGCAGAGGAACTCCTGGGCCCGCCCCACGAGGAAAGGGAAGCTGTGGCCGAGAGGCTACTGCGGGCTGGCCTCGAACGCCAAGACTTACGCACAGAGAGGATGGGCCGTTTCTCTGCCCGCTCGTGGCTGTCCTGGAGGAGGCTGTCACTGTCAGAGGCTGTGGAGGAGTCCCCATCGTCCTCCTTCTGGGAGGGGGTGGGACAGGGAGGAGGAGGGGGAACAGACAAGGAAAAAGGAGTTCGTGACTACGGAAGAACCCTGGGGACGGTGGAGAGCCCGTCCCCTCTGTTCCTGTTTTCTCTTGCAGGTATCTGACTAGGAGGCTCTCAGCACCTCCACACTGTCACGTTACAGGTGCGGACACGCTCGGATGGCAGGTCCGACGCTGAGTACGGCTCCTGGGAACGGAGGTTCCGCGTGACCGAGCCAGCTGCAGGCGGGGAGCAGGAGGGACCACGCGCGGTACCGAAAGAGCAGAGGCAGCACGTGTCCTGCAAGCCGAGGTGGCTGCTAAGCTGCAGCTTTGGGACGGGGTCCCGGAGTAGCGCTGTGGACACGAGCCCTCCGCGCAGCAAGGAGGAAAGAACTGGCCCCTGAGGGCTGCGTCTTTGGGATGCCACTGGCCGGAGGTACCGCCCGGAGCCCAGGGCGACACACACACACCTACCTGGTGGTTCTCCATCCTCTTCCAGTGGAGCTGGGCGTTGGCTGCTGCCATGGCTTCTACCACGAAGGTAGTCGTCATGAAGCTGCAGGGAGAGGCCACGGGTTAATGGCCAAAGGCAGATGGGAGGTCGGGGGAGGTACAAAGGACCAGACCGACAAGCCCCAAGCATCCTCTTCTGAGAGCTGTTTCCTAGCGAAATCTCAAAATGGGTCTGACCCGATAAAGCAAAGTGCGTGTGCATGTGTGACACCTAGCACGCTGTGCCGATGTCCCTGTTTCCAGTTAGAATGTACTTCTGATGCACGGGAGACAAGGGAGTGAACTAAGCTGGTGGGAGGCAGCGTGAGTCTGGGGAAAGAGGACGAGACCATGCACACCGAGAAGGGGGGCGTGCTGGGGGCAGAGGTGGGAGCACAGGTGCCGCCTGACGCTCTCAGCCGCAGGAGGAGGCTGATTCACAAGGCGGCCCTCCCCAGGCTTCTGGGAAGGGCAGCAGGCAGCTCTCACCTCTCCTTGCTAGGACACAGACAAGCGGTCAAGTCCCAATCACACACCCTAGTGGACAGAGCACAGGCATGGATAATTGAAAGGGAACACTTGGCTCTGGAATCTGTCCCTCTCCCCACACCCGCTTTTTGGCAGTATTTTGACTTTCCTAATAACCTGGGTGATATTAAAATGATCAATGCATTTTTATGGCCAGAATCAAAAGCGAGACTGGGAGGTGGCACCAGACATTTGCTGACAAGTGAGACTAGAGTGAAAAACCACCTTTTCTTCTCCTCTTAAAGAAAGTGGAGGCCTAGACGACAGCTAGAACCCACGCGGGCTCCCTTCCGTCAGCAGGGGGAACGGGGCAGCGCCGCCTTGCTGCTAATGGAGCCTGAGCTTAGTCCAACCTGCTCATCTCTCTCTCTGAGGCCAGCACGGCTCTGCTGTGGGACTTGACCCTGAGCCCTTTTCCGGTGCTGTCGCCTGCCCCGGGCTGACTGCTCAGCCCAGCCGACGGGGGGCACGTGGGACAGGGGTTAAATCTACATCCACTCCATCTCGGGGGGTGGGGGAGTAGAGGGGCAGCCAGCTCTGAATCTCCCATTCCAGTCTCCTCTGCACCTCCTAGAAAAGATTCTCATTATCTTGCCTAAGTGACCATTTTAAGGGCTTTAGATTTTTCCTCTTTTTGGAAGTAAAACCAAAATCCATCTTAATTAAGCTGTAAAGAGGCTTCCCATGGTTGCACAAAGCCACCTCATTGATCATGTTCAAACATAAAATGGCTTGAGCAAAAGGGGGGGCATGGAGGCCCCTACCTGGGGCCCCCCAATAATCACTTCCCACTCAGATGGCTGCCCGTGCTGAAGGTCCTTTAAAGGGGACAGCAGAGTCACAGAAGGACAAGGACTTCTAGGACTCCTGGCTGCCAAGGCTCGCAGCATATAACGAGCCAGCAGTACCCCGAGGTTGGCCTCAAATCCCCCACTGCTGTCTGTCTCCCCCTGCCCCAAAGAAAAGAGAAGAGTCTGTGAGGTGGGCCTCTTTATTCAGTGGGATACCCCGGCACCTGGGAACACTGCCTGGTGTCACCTCTCCCAGGGGGTGCCCTTGGGGGTGTTGCCAGCTGTCCCCTCTCACTTCGTTTTTGCAGCTTGTGGATTCCCGCCTGGTTGAGGTGGCGGGAAATGCTTAGTCCTAAATCCCTCACCAGCCCGGGCCACCTGTGAAGGGACTTTGGCCCTGCCTGTGGGACGCCTGAAGAGCGCTCAGGGGGAAGCACCTGCTGGAGAATCCCACACACCTGGCTCGGGGAGCAGGCGTCCTGGAAGGCTCGGGAAGGCCCTGGCCTCCTCCTTGCTGCCAGGTGCAAGGGCAGGTGAGGTGAACACTTGATTGTGTGTGCACCTGTATGTTTATCGCTTCCTCTGTGAGCCATCCTGAGCAAATTCTAAATTCCAAACTGCCTTCTCATTTCACTTTTAACGACGGTCAGATTCTCCTTCTGCGGCGAGGTGTTTTCTCAAACACACACACACCGGGGGAGGAAACACGTGAGCACCACGCGAGGCATCCCGCAGCCTGATGGCAAGTCCCGCTTTGCAGCTGACCTGGGCTCCGCGGCTGCTCCCACCGCACCAGACGCGAGACCTTGTAGGTCCCCTCTCCTCCCCCGGGGCCGCCCTGGTGAGCACTCGCCACGGACGCCTCGGGACACTTCCTCACGGTAACGGGTTTCCCGGGCAGGCCCCTCGGTTTTGCCCCATCCCAGGGGACAGCCCCTTACCTCATGAAGCCCAGGAACACCAGCAGGACCAGGCTGACGAGCCACCCGGCGGTGGCAAAGGCCTTGGGCATGGTGAGTGCGCCGGTGCCCACGATGAGGTTGAACATGTACACCAGTCCCACCTGCAAGCCACAGAAGGGACGTTCAGCCCAGAAATTAATTTGCCGCTGCCCCCTAATGGCTCCCGGGATGACCCTGGGTGACGGCAAAACCGCAGAGGCCAGGAGGCCGGACTTCAGACAGGGAAGCGGGTGAGGCGGGGCCCCCCCTTCTCGGGAGACGGGCTCTGCACCCCGACGCGGAAGCCCAGACGTAAACGCGAGGGCGGCTGACAGCCCGTGTTCTGTCCGCCTTTTCGAACGTCTCCGCGGATCAGTTTTCTCGTCCGCTCTGGCTGTCGCCACCCTCATCGCCTCACTGTTATTATTAATAATAATAATAATAATAATAATATGTTGTTGTTTTGTTGTTGTTGTTGTTATTATTATTATTATTATTATTATAGGGGAGGGAGAAAAGAGAGAA